CTCAGGCCACCGCAGCCTCGAGCTGCTGGGCTGCGGCGATCCTTCCGCCTCAACCTTCCAAGGAGCCGGAACTACAGGCACGCGCTACCACGCCCGGCTGATTTTTTGATTTATTGTAGAGATGTGGGTTTAGGCAATCCTCCCGCCGCCGCCTTCCCGCAAAGTGCTGGGAAGACAGGCGTGAGCCACCGCACCTGGCCTTAAAAAGCTATTTTTTGGTAGTATCTATGCAACTTTTTTTTTTTAGTTGCTAAAAGATTAAACAACTAAGTTTTTATTATCTGCTCCCTGGAAATGTGATTATATCTGCTAATGTGTTGCGTTGGTTTAGAAAATTTAGTTTCAACTGATCCCGTAGTTAATTCTGAGATTTTTGTTCAAAACAGAAAGGGAAGAAGGAACAGATAGAATGCATTTGGACTTAGCAGTCATCCGTGTCCCGTGATAACAGATGCATTGGAGACTAGGTCAGGGGTTGTGGGCAGCGTAACTGGTTCCACATGAGAAACCGAGGTCTTGAGGTCAGGTGGGGAGCACAGAGATGAGTAGTAGCCCCAGTAGTGCTCAGGACTGGGGCCTTGTCTACACTATCCCCTTGCCTGTCACTCCCCATCTGGCTTAACTGGCCCTGCTCTACACAGCTCCTTCTGAAATGGAACTGAAATGATGATTCATTAACCTGGTTTTTCTGTCTTCATTGAATACAGTATCAGGAGTCTCCTTTGATACAGTAACTATTTTGGGTTAAGTAACTGTATGTGTGAGTGAGACAGATTATGAATGTGTCACTGCAGGCATTTCATCAAAGTTTTAGTTAATATTGTGACTTTTAAGATAGAAATGGTGGTAGGTATAGCTATTAATGCCCTTTTTAGGAAGCTAGGAAAAATCTAGCCAGGTAAAATACTGCCACAGTGGTAGAAACAGTGCTCAGTAGCCATACTTAAGTGGTCTTAAGGATTCTTGTCTTGAAAACTAGGGGTGTGGAGGGAAGGGGCAGGTACAAGATTTTCCTGTTTCTTGGTAGTTCTTTGTAATTAGGCATTTGTCCTCATGTTTTCTGTATTGTGGCAGAATATAGTTTTCTTGTTTTAATTACTTTTTTTGGGGGGGTCAGAGTCTCACGACCACCACAGTCTCAACCTGCTGGACTCGGGTAATCCTTCTGACACAGCTTTCAAAGTAGCTGGAACTACAGGCATGTACCGCAACACCTGGCTAATTTTTTGATTTACTGTAGAGAAGAGGTTTCATCAAGTTGCCCAGGCTGAACTCCAACCCCTGGACTCAGGCAGTCCTCTTACCTCTGCCTCCCAAAGTGCTGGGATGGCGGGCCTGAGCCACCATGCTCGGCTTTTAATTACCTTTTTTTTTTTGAGTTGGAGTCTCACTCTGTTGCCCAGACTGGAGTGCAGTGGCCACTCCTGGCCACTGCAGCCTCTACCTGCTGGGCTCTGGTGATCCTTCCGCCTCAGCCTTCCAAGTAGCTGGAACTACAGGTATGCACTACCACGCCCGGCTAATTTTTTGATTTTTATTGTAGAGATGAGGTCTCGCGAAATTGCCCAGGCGGGCTCAGGCAATCCACTCACTTCAGCCTCCCAAAGCGCGGGATTACAGGCTGAGCCACCGAGCCCGGCCTAATTACATTTTAATGTAACTTTTTGATATGGCTCAAGTATTTTTTCCTCTCTCTAAGTACTACACTATGTAGAGATTTTTCTTTCATTTGTTTTCTAAACTGTGTAATATGTGTCATTTGCTTTTTTTGTCACTAGGTGGAGGTAAGAAATGATCAAGGTTCAGCTTGGTGGCTGTATAAGCAAGGGTTTTAGCATTGCTGAGTGTCTTAAGTTTGAACTGATTTGCTTGGCAGCCACATGCGGTATATCTTTGTTTTTGAGTTGGAGTTTCACTCTGTCACCCAGGCTTGAGTACAGTGGCCTTCTGCCACGGTCTTCCAAGTAGCTGAAACTACGGGTATGTGTTAACATGCCTGGCTTATTTTTTGATTTATTATAAAGATGAGGTTTCACTAAGTTGCCCAGGCTGTTCTCAAACCCCTGAGCTTAGTCTTCTTGCCTCTACCTCCCAAAGTGCTGGGATTACAGACTTGAGCCACTGCGCCCTGCCTTTTTTTCTTTTGAATCAGAATCTCATTCTGTTGCCCAGGCTAGAGTGCAGGGGGCACGCTCACAGCTACCACAGCCTTGATCTGCTGGGCTCAGGTGATCCTTCCGCCTCAGCCCTCCAAGTAGTGCCACCATGCCTGACTAATTTTTTGATTTATTGTAGAGATGGGGTCTCATCAAGTTTCCCAGACTGGTCTTGAACCCATGGACTCGGGCATCCTCCCACTTCGACCTACCCAAATGATGGGATTATAGGCGTGAGCCACTGCGCCCAGCCTGCAAAATATCTTTTAAAAGGGTAGGATATTTAAATTTAACCTTTTTAAAAATGCCAGTGTATGAGAGTGGACTTCTGGAAATGGCGGGGGAAAATCTCTCCTTGATTGGTAGGCAGTCATGTGGAAGATACGTTATAAAAATGAAGTGGCAGAGCTGTAATCTCAGCACTTTGGGAGGCCTAGGTGGAAGAATTTCTTGTGCCCAGGAGTTTGAGACCAGCCTAGGCAATGTAGCAGATCCTGTCTCTGTTTTTAAAAAAGTAGTTGTGTCTTACAGGGTCCTTTAAAGTGAGGTGACTGTATTTCTAACAAGGTTTTCTACATTGGGTATGTTTTTCCTCTATAATCAGCCATTTAATCTACAAACCCATGAAAAAAAGTACTGTTGGGGCTGGATGCGATTGGTGCATGCCTGTAATGCCAGCACTTAGGGAAGCAGAGGTTGAGAGGATTGCCTGAGCCCAGCACGTCGAGACTGTGGTGGCCATGAGCATGCCACTGCACTCCAGCCTGGACAACAGAGTGAGAATCTGACCAAAAAAAAGTGTTGCTCACTTGGATCCTTCTATGCAGTTTATGTTTTTAGCGACTTGCTCCGTTTTGTTTTTTTTTTTTCTTATTCCTTCCCTGGGCATAGTATATAATACATAAAGCATAAATCTCTTTAGTTGGAGGAGATCACATAGATTTAATACAAAGTAATTTGTAATTTATTGCATATTTTGGAAGTCCAAAGAACAACTCTGGTTGCTTAGTACTGTTAACAAAGATACGATCCTATCACTTGATCCCTTGCCAGTTCTTATTATCCTATTTTTACTAGACTGTTTCTTGGGGTTTCTTTATTACCTTTTAACTGGGAGAACACTTTGCACAGAATATTTTAAACTTTTTTCACTTTTCATTAAGTTGCAGTCCTGCTCCATCCTGTCTAACCTCCTTGTTCCAACCTCTTAACAGCTAAGATTGAGGCTGTCACATATAAGGACTCTTATAATTGCCTTCTCAGAATGAAAACAGTCATTGTGTTACTGAATTTACTCGGTTGTATTCTTTTTTTTTTTTTTTTGAGTAGGAGTCTCACTCTGTTGCCCAGACTGGCCGCGGGCTCAGGCAGTCCACTCACCTCAGCCTCCCAAGGCACAGGATTTCAGGCTGAGCCACCGGCTTACTTGGTTGTATTCTGTCATCAAACTAATTCATTAAAAAAATAGCGAAACTAAGCACATTTAATAAATATCAACTACGTTTATAAATACATCACAAAATAACTATTCAGGCTGGGTGTGGTATTTCATGCCTGTAATCCCAGCACTTTGGGAGGCTGAGGTGAGAGGATTGCCTTAAGCCCAGGGGTTCGAGATGAGCTCGGGCAACATGGCAAGACCTCATCTCTAATAAATCAAAAAATTAGCCGGAAGTAGTGGCGCCTGCCTGTAGTTCCAACTACTTGGGAGACTGAGGCAGTCAGAAAGATTGCCTGAATCCGGCAGGTCAAGGCTGCGGTGACTGTGAGCGAGCCCCTGCACTCCAGCCTAGGTGACAGAGTGAGACTCTGACTCAAAAAACAACAAAACAACATTCGTAAAAATAAAGTTGTTAAACATTCATTAAAAGGTTACTTTATAGGCCAGGCACAGTGGCACATGCCTGTAATCCCAGCGCTTTGGCAGGCCAGGGCAAGAGGATTGTCTGAGCTCAAGGCAAGAGGGTTGCCTGAGCCTTGACAAGACCTCATCTCTACAGTGAATCAAAAAAAAAAAATTAGCTGATATGTTAGCACATGCCTGTAGCTCCAGCTACTTGGAAGGCTGAGGTGGATGGATCCCCTGAGCCCTGTAAGTCGAGGCTGCAGTGCCTGTGATTGCGCCCTTTACTCCTGCCTGGGTGACAGAGTGAGTCTCCGACAAAAAGAAAAAAAAGGATATTTTATAAAAATGTTTTGTTGGCCGGGCTCGGTGGCTCAGCCTGTAATCCCAGCACTTTGGGAGGCCGAGGTGAGTGGATTGCCAGAGCCCGCGGGTTCGAGACCCGCCTGGGCAACTTGGTGAGCCCTCATCTCTATAGTAAATCAAAAAATCAGCTGGGCGTGGTAGCACGCGCCTGTAGTTCCAGCTACTTGAAAGGCTGAGGTGGAAGGATCACCAGAGCCCAGCAGGCGAGGCTGCGGTGGCCCAGAGCGGCCATTGCACTCCAGTCTGGGTGACAGAGTGAGACTCCAACTCAAAAAAAAAAGTTTTGTTAAATATATATTCTAATATGAATTAACGAGTAACATTAATGAAAGTAAGGTATTTAAAAAACAACTGAACCAAAAATAAAAAGATATAATAGTGAAAAATATTATAGCTTTAATTTTAATGAAATCCTTTGAAACCAAGTTTATCCATCATGTCATTGTTTAAGTTGCATGTATATTTTTGTGCACATTTTTACAACTTCTGAAAGACTTTTTTTGAGTGTATTAGTAATGTGGAGGAGACAGTTCTAAGCTAATTCTAAGCATTTTCCTTTGTCTCCTTTATCTTCAAATAATCTCACTCTTTAGTAACTTTTGTTAAGAGACCTTGTTCTTGTTTTTTTGCAGGACTTTTTCTTGGTAGCAAGCTGTAGATTTTGTTTCAAAGAAAGCATCTTCATCTCTAGTTTTATCATGTATAGATGGAAATTCTGATGCAGGTATCTGTATCAATTTTAATACAGTCACATTTGTGGTCACTTGAATTTGAGAACATTAATTGTTTTTTTATTTTTTTATTTTCTTTTTCTTCCTTCTTGCAGATCATGAAAATACAAAAGAATATCTTCTAAATGAAGGGACTTTTATTTTTTTACATTTTTTTTCAATTTGGAATTAAAATTTTAACTTTCAGTAGAGATTTTTTTTTTTTTTTGAGTTGGAGTCTCATTTGGTCGCCCAGACTGGAGTGCAGTGGCCGCTCCGGGCCACCGCAGCCTCGCCCTACTGGGCTCCAGGGATCCTTCTGCCTCAGCCTTCCAAGTAGCCGGAATTACAGGCATGCGCTACCACGCCCAGCTAATTTTTTGATTTATTGTAGAGATGAGGTCTCGCTGCCCAGGCGGGTCTCGAACCCGCGGGCTCAGGCAATCCACCCACCTCAGCCTCCCAAAGGCGCGGGATTACAGGCTGAGCCACCAAGCCCAGCTGTAGAGATTTATTTTTGCATGTTTAAATAAAATTGCAATTGTTGATCCTGTTCTCAAGATGTAAATAAGTTGTATTTCAGACATTAAAATGCTGAAGTCGTGATATTTGTATCAGAAAAAACACTAGTGTTTCATGGCTTTCTGTGGTATATCATTAACTGAATAGCGGGACATCAAAGTTAGAGTTGCATCACTACATCTAACCCTTTTATATGCGTGTCAGTATTTGCTTCTGGACACTTACTTTCTGACTTTTTTCATGTTTTAGACAAAACTATCACCCTTTCAATACTTGCTTTCTGCACCCAGCTTCCTGTTCTATCCTGACCTCTGGTACTTTCCTTCCTCAATACCTTCATTCTCCCTTTCCATTGCTTTCTTTCTGTCTGCTTGCACATGTTCACAGATTTCTTCTATTTTGGAAAAGAAAAAAAAGTCATTCATTAACCCTACTTGACTATTAGTTTCTTTTCTTCAGTTTTGTAAACCAAACTTCTTGCTAGGGGATTAGCTACTTTTTCACTGTGCTTCAGTGTTTTGTTATCTGGCTTCAGTCCTTGTTGAAATTTTTTTTTTTTTTTTTTTTTTTGCGTTGGAGTCTTACTCTGTTGCCCAGGCTGGAGTGCAATGGTATGCTCATGACCACTGCAGCCTCAGCCTGCTGTGCTCAGGTGATCTTTCTGCCTCAGCCTTCCAGGTAGCTGGAACTGTAGGTGTGTGCCATCATGCCTGACTAATTTTTTGGTTTATTGTAGAGATGAGGTCTCACCAAGTTGCCCAGGCTGGTCTTGAACCCTGAGCTCATGCAATCCTCTCACCTCCGCCTTCCAAAGTGCTGGCATTATAGGCCTGAGCCACTGTGCCTTACTGAAATACCATTTTTGAAGAGTATCTGTAACCTAGTCAATGACTAAATCCAGGAGTCTTTTTCAGTTCCCATTGGATGCTATTAACTCTCTACTTTTTTAAGAGTTCATCTCAGCTTTATGAACTTGGCAAAATTATTTGGCCTCAGTTTCTTCTTTAGTGTTAAATTGGGACAACATCTCTTACACTTTTGAGTATCAAATAAAAATGCCTATGAAAATACCTGTCTTCTAGGTAGTAGCCCAGGGAATTGCACCTATCCCTAACTCAACCATTCGGAATGCTTTACTCACTGCCTGGCTCCCTAAATATCTAAGACAGCTTTATTTTTCTGTTTCTCCCCCCCCCCCCACCTCCTAAACAAACACATTCAGTCAAGTTCGCCGAGCTCTGTCTTTTTACCTGGTCCCTGGGAATCCTCATCTACTTGCAAAGCTCTAACTGAGACGTTCAGGCTGTCAGCGACCAGACACAGTGAGTCCTTGTCTACCATTATCAGTAGGTTCTTAGAACCTGCGACTTTAAGTGACATTATGGCAGATAACTTCGTTTCATAAATATGTTGATAAGAAAAAATATTAGTTTTATTATACATCACTTTGCTTTAAGTTGCAGTTTGCAAGAGTCTAGCTAGGACATTAAGTGAGAACTTCGTAGACCTACCTTGAGAGTGTCCTTGCCTAAACTCTGATGATCCATTTCTGATGATGTCTTGGAAACCTTCATTTGAAATGCTTTTTATCACCTCAAATTTAACATGTTTGAAACCAAACCCCTTATTTTTACTTTTCTTTCCCACATGCCTTTTTAGGAGTCCTAATATTTCTGGTCAACCAGGCAAAAAATCCTCACCACTATCCCTGATCCCTCCCCTCCCCCCATCTTTAAAAAAAATCTGTTATTTATTTTTAAGAGTTTTGAAGATCTCACTGTCACCCAGGCTGGAGTGTAATGGTGCAGTCATAGCTTACTACAGCCTCCATCTCCTGGGCTTAGGCGATCCTCCTGCTCTAGCCTCTTGAGTAGCTGTGATTACAGGTGTATGCCAGTGCACTCACCTGATTCTTTTTTCCTTCCATCATGTGCAGAATTTCTCCCTTCTCTAATTTGTCGGCAACATTGGTCTTGTGCCGGTGACCTAACTAATTGATCTAGTGACTGGTATTCTCCACTCTCTGCCTTGATTACTGGTCACAGTGTCTTAATTATATATATATTTTATACTCAGAAACTTTTAAGGGCTTTCTGTTTGCCTCCAGGTCCATAAACATGTAGAATTTTCAGTCTGGGCCCAGTTTATCTTTCTCATTTTGCCCCAACCTTCATCTGTTGGACTGCTCCTGGTTCTTAAAACATATCTGGATTCTTTTTCATTGTCAGTCCAGAAAGGAAGTAAAGGCATGTATTCTTGATGCATTTTCAAGTTAGCCACCCCAGGAGTGACTAGCACTGAATCTCATTGAAACTTTCTAGGAGCCTTATGAAATGAGTCTCAGAACCAGCATCCCTTACTGGGCACTGGCTGCTTCACAGGTGTTAACTCTCCCATACTTCCAGGTGGTAAGTGAGTAAGTGCAGAACAGTGCTTTCTACTTGGACCTACCTGAAGCCAGTCGTAGCCTATAAGAAATTAGTCCCCCATAGCTGGAGTAAGAGGTTGTGTCAAGAGGTTTTGCAGTGGTCCACAATACATATCTATATTTCTGTGCATGTTGAAAAACCCAGCCAGGCATGGTGTCTCATGCCTGTCATCTTGGCACTTTGGGAGGCGGAGGCAAAAGAATTGCCTGAGTCCACGGGTTTGAGACTAGCCAGGGCAACTTGGCAAGACCTCGTCTCTAAAATAAATAAAAAGTTAGCTGGGCATGGTGGCGCATGCCCATAATTCCAAGTACTTGGGAGGCTGCGGTGGCAGTGAGTGTGCTGCTGCACTCCAACCTAGGCAACAGAGTGAGGCTTCTATTCAGAAAAAACAAAACAGGCCGGGCATGGTGGCTCAAGTCTGTAATCCCAGCACTTTGGTAGACCGAGGTGAGGGGATTGCCTGAGCCCACAGGTTCAAGACCAGCCTGGGCAACTTGGCGAGACCCAATCTCTACAGTAAGTCAAAAAGTTAGCTGGGCATGGTGGCATGTGTCTGTAGTTGCAGCTATTTGGAAGGCTGAGGTGGAAGGATTGCCTGAACTCAGTAGGTAAAGGCTGTGGAGGACTTGAGCATGCCACTGCACTCCAGCCTGGATGACAGAGTAAGACTCTGACTCAAAAGAAAAAAAAACATCCCAAAACAAAAAACCCAGAAGGTACGGAAGAATGTAGGGTGAGAAGCTGTGTCTCTTTCTTCTAGAAAAAAATGACCCCTACTCTAGTTATTCTAGTTCTTTCTCTGGAAACACTCATTGCTAGCTTGTTTTTGAACTTCTACAGTTGTGTACGCATACGTACAATTGTGTATATGTATATGCTGTATATACAAGGGGGACCCCAAAAAAGATGGCATTATTTTTTACAGGGTGGGCCCCTTGTAGTATAGGCTTCTCACTGGATATGTGCTCTAGGAACCCATTGGCATTAGTGTACCAGCTAGCGTTGTTGTATGAGAGGCTACATTCTGCTTCAGTGAATTTTTTTTTTTTTGGAGTTTTTCTTTTTTTTTAGTTGGAGTCTCGCTCTGTCACCCAGGCTAGAGTACAGTGGCCACGGTCAGCCACCTGCAGCCTCCACCTGCTGGGCTCAGGTGATCCTTCCACCTCAGCCTTCCAAGTAACTGGAACCACAGGCACACGCCACCATGCCTGGCTAGTTTTTTGCTTTATGTAGAGACAAGGTCTCATTAAGTTTCCCAGACTGGTCTCGAACCCCTGGGCTCAGGCATTCCTCTTGCCTTGTTCTCCCAAAGTGCTGGGATTACAGGTGTGAGCCACTGTGCCTGTCTCTTTTGGAGATTCTTTCAACATGTTTGCTCATTTCTTGATGAGTGATTTGCAAGTACACCTACCCATACTGCTCTTGAGTGTTTAGCTAAAACCGACATGATCTCAGTTTCCTAGATCTTGCCCTGAGCAACTTTTTTTTTTGTTTCCTGAATGAAAAGGTTCTTAAAGGGATATGTTTTGCCTGTGAAAGAGGTGTAACAAAAAACAACAGAAGTACTAAAAGACAGCGAAATTGACTGTTTTGAGCGGTAGAAAAGGCATCTCAACAGATGTATTGTTCCAAATTTTGAGTACTTAGAAGGTGATTGAAGTTTAAACGTGGAAGAATAAATAGTTTTTTGTGTTTTTTTGGAGTCTCACTCTGTCACCCAGGCTGGAGTACAGTGGCACACTCACAGCCACCCCAGCGTTGATCTGCTGGGCTCCGGTGATCCTTCTGCCTCAGCCTTACAAGTAGCTGGAACTACAGGCACGTGCTACCACGCCTCGCTAATTTTTGATTTATGGTAGAGAGGAGGTCTTGCCAGATTGCCTGGGCTGGTCTCTAACCTGCGGGCTCAGGCAGTCTACTTGTCTTAGCCTTCCAAAGTGCTAGGATTACAGGCTGAGCCACCGAGCCTGGCAGTGAAGTTTTTTAAGAAATAAATTTTGAAGTTTTTTTTTAGGTCCCCCCTTGTATCTACCTATACCCTCCTGTATACATATATACATATTGTATATACTTTTTTCAACTTAAAAATATTTTAATGGTTTTTCTGTAGTATATGCGGAACATTCTTATTTTAGCAAAATTCTGCTATGTGGAGCTATTGTTTATTTAACCATTTCCCTACTGATGGACATTATAGTATGGGCATTTTACCTGCTTTTACTTATTTTTTTTAGTTAAAGTCTCACTTTGTCACCCAGGATGGAGTGCAGTGGCATGCTGTTCACGGCCACTGTAGCCTCCACCTGCTGGGCTCAGGCTATCCTTCCACCTCAGCCTTCCAAGTTGCTAGAACTACAGGTGTGTTCCACGATACCCAGCTAATTATTTTTTGATTTATTATAGAGATGAGGTTTTGCCATGTTGCCCAGTCTGGTCTTGAACCCACGGGCTCAGACAATCCTTTTGCCTCCAGTGCTGAGGTTACAGGTGTGAGCCACCACACCTGGTTCTGTCCTCCTTTTACTTTTTTAAATATAGCTGCCAGAAAATGTAAAATTGTGTTCTGTGTTTCTGGCATTATTTTCTACTAGACAATGCTATTCTGGCTCATTCTTTAGGACAGAATAAGGTTCATATGGGGAGTTGGTGTGTGATTTGATGAGAAGTGTTGGATAGTTACCATAATTATTTGGGTATAATTGAGATGTAGGTAGCCCTTATTTTACAGGTGAACTTGAGTCAGGTCACACGGTAAGTGTGCTGTCTTGGAATTTGAGCCAGGCAGTCTCATTCCAGAGCCTGCACAGTTTCCTGAGTGGGCCACTGAAGATTAGGCAGAGGACGTGACCTTGCACAGAGCAAGCACGGTAAATGAATGACAGCTGATTGTTTTCTAGCCATTAATATTTTAGTTAATGTAGTTTTTTTTTTTTACAGTCGTGTTGCTTAATGGTGAGGATATGTCCTGAAAAGCACATTGTTAGACCATTTAACTGTTGTGTGAACATCCTAGAGTATACTTAGCCTACATGCAATCAGTAACCTACTGCACACCTGAACTGTGTGGTGTAGCTGATGGCTCCCAGGCTACAGACCTGTTCCCAACACTGTAGGCAGTTGTAACACAGTAGAGCAAGCATTTGTGTATCTAAATATAGAAAACTTTCAGTAAAATGTACAGTATAATCTTAGGGGACCACCATTCTATATTTGGTCTGTCATTAGAATATGTAGTTTTGATTACTACTGTGTTTGTCTTAGAAAGTAAACATTTTCTGTTTGAGCTTAAATCCAAGTGATCATAAGTGGTGTATGATTATTTTTAAAATTTTTCTTAGATTTCAGATCCTGAAATTTTATAATGAAGTCTCTTAAAAAAAAGTATCAAGGAAGAAAATGTGTTAAGGAGAGCTGAGTGGAAATGCCTTTGTTTTATTTTATACTTACTTCTTATGAATTGGAGTTTCACTCTGTTACCTAGGCTGGAGGGCAGTGGCGTGACCTCCGCAGCCTTGACCTGCTTGACTCTGGCGATCCTTCTGCCTCAGCCTTCCAAGTAGCTGGAATTACAGGCGCACACCATCATGCCCGACTAATTTTTTTATTTGGTTTATTGTCAAGACAAGGACTTGCCATGTTTCCCAGGCTGGTCTCAAATTCCTGGGCTCAGGCAATTCTTTTGGCTCTGCCTCTCAAAGTGCTGGGATTACAGGTGTCAGCTCCCGCAACCAGCTGGAAATACCTTTATTATTTAGGATGCTTAATACTTATAGGATATTAGAAGAAAAAGGAAGTTTTTTGTTTGTTTGTTTTTTGTGAGTTAGAGTCCTACTCTTTTGTCCAGGCTTAGGTGCATGTTCACGGCCACCACAGCCTCAACCTGCTGGACTCAGGTGATCCTTCTGCTTCAACCTTCCAAGTTGCTGGAACCACAGACACATGCCACCAGGCCCAGCTAATTTTTTTATTTATTACAGAGATGAGGTCTCTCCAAGTTGCCCAGACTGATTTCAAACCCCTGGGCTCAGATAGTCTTCTTACCTCAGCCTCCCAAAAGTACTGGGATGACAGATGTGAGCCACGCTGCACATAACCTGGCCAGGAAGCTCTTTTTTTTTTTGAGTTGGAGTCTTACTCTGTTACCCAGGCTGGAGTGCAGTGGCACGCTCACAACCACCGCAGCCTCCACCTGCCGGGCTCAGGCTATCCTTCTATCTCAAGAGCTGGTTGCCAAGGCAGCAGATAGTCTCTAAGTTATTTAATTTCCCTCATATTTAGCCCAGAGGTTTAGCCTAAAAGGGTAATACTTATACTTTTTGATCTCTGTCCTTTCCCTCTCTTTTTTTTTGAGTCAGAGTCTCACTCTGTCACCCAGACTGGAGTGCAGTTGCATGCTCACGGCCACTGTAGGCTCGACCTACTGGGTTCAGGTGATCCTTCTGCTTCAGCCTTTCAAGTAGTTGGAACTACAGGCATGCACCACTATGCTGAGCCAATTTTTTGATGTATTGTAGAGACGTGGTCTCGCCTTGTTGTCCAGGCTGGTCTCAAACCCCTGTGCGCGGGCAATCCTCTTGCCTCAGCCTCCCAAAGTGCTGGGATTACATGCGTGAGCTACCTCGCCTGGTTCTCTTTTTTTATTGCTTACAACCAACCTTTAGAATTTAAATGACATTCTTTGCTCATACAGTAGTTACTTGCCAGTCTCCTTTTCACCTCTGGTGATCTTCAGAGGGCAGTGCCCTCTTTTTTCTTTTTAACATTAAAAAAAAGTTTTTTTTAAGAGACGGGATCTTGCTATGATTCCCAGGCTAGATTTGAACCTTTGGGCTCAAGTGGCCCTCCTACCCTGGCCTCCTGAGTAGCTGGGATTGCAGGCACACGCCACTGTGCCTGGCTAGGGCAGTACCTTCTTGAAGCTGGTGCCTCAGAACTGTCTGTGGACCTTTGGGGAAGGGCTGAGCAGCACAGAGTAATGGGGGCTTGTCACTGACCCTAAGTGAAGGGCTGCTGCTTGTTTTGGAGCTTGGTCATATGTTCAGCTTAATTCCAGTCATCTAGTTTGTTGGACCACTTTACCTTCTAGGATTTTTTTTTAATTTGAGACAGGGTCTTACTCTGTTGCCCAGGCTGGAGTGCAGTGTTGTGATTATAGCTCACTGTAGCCTTGAGCTCCAGGGCTTAGGTGATCCTCCCACCTCAGCTTCCTGAGTAGGTGCATGCCACCATGCCTGGCTTTTCTTCTTCTTTTTTTTACTTTATTTTTTGCAGAGATGGAGGTCTGCATATGTGCTCAGGCTAGTCTTGAAATCCTAGCCTGAAGCCATCCTCCCACCGCAGCTTCTCAAGTGGCTAGGATTACAGGCATGAGCCACTGCACCCAACTCTAGGATATTTTTAGACTTCAGCATAGGACTAGCCGTATATTGAGCTATATTCAACCTTTACTCTAGCTTGTGGAGCTCTCTGGATCCTACTTTGTCCTTTAGTTGTAATGAAATTTCTCTCAGCTTCAGTCACTGGAATGTTTGATAAACATACCTGGATCTTCTACCAGTTTCTAATAAAATGTGAATGAGACATAGATAAGAACTAAATATCAAACCACAGATACTTAGCAGATAAGGTAATTTTAATGCATGGACATAGCTGGTGTGAATTCTCTCTTTAAAACTGTTTGGAGAGTTGTATGTAGATCTGCATTACACGTGCTGAATGTGCCTAATCTGAAATCCAGAATGCTCCAAAGTCCGAAATGTTGTGAGCACCAACATGATGCTCAAAGGAAATGCTCATTGGAGAGTTTGGATTTCGGATTTCAGATTAGAGGTGCTTGACTATAAAGCAGATAATTGAAAACTTTTTTGGAAATTTCAAACACTTTTGGACTCAAGCGATTCAGAGAAAATCCAAATATTCAACCTTTAGCAATCCTCATCAGAAGTTATTCTCATTACTAATGGCTTTCAAAGCAATTAGACCACCATAGATTCTTTTTTTTTAACTGAGTCTTATTGACATGCAAAGTAAAAGAATTTTAAATAATGATTTTTTTAAGTAACTTTTTTTTTTAATTTCAGAAAGGACTTACACCAGCAGTCCCAGTTCATACCAATAAAGAAGATCCAGTTACCCAAACTAACTTGGGATTCATCCATGCATTTGTGGCTGCCATATCGGTCATCATTGTGTCTGAACTGGGTGATAAGACGTTTTTCATAGCAGCCATCATGGCCATGCGTTACAACCGCTTGACTGTACTGGCGGGCGCCATGCTTGCCTTGGGCCTGATGACTTGCTTATCAGGTGAGTGCCTCTGCTGAGTTTGCTCAGTTAAGGGGAAGGCCTAGTGTGTAGCATTGAGTCACTGATCATTCTTCAAGTTCTACTGGAATTTGGTTTATGTTCCAGAATTTAGTAAACAGCAAATGGTTTCAGTACATAAATTCCTAAAAACCCAGCACTTTGGGAGGCTGTGGTGAGTCCAGGGTTCAAGACCAGCCTAGGAAACTTGGCAAGACCTCATCTCTATGATAAATCAAAAAACTAGCTGAGCGTTGTGGCACCTGCCTGTGGTTCCAGCTACTTAGAAGGCTGAGGTAGAAAGATTGCCTGAGCCCAGCAAGTCGTGACTGAGGTGGCTGTGAGTGTGCCACTGCACTTTAGTCTGGATGACTGAGATGCCAACTCAAAAAAAAACTAAGCAAACTGGAGTGCACTTTTTAAGTGGAATTATTAGCATTTACAACCATAGATACATACTTCTCATTTTTTCACTGGGTTTTTTTATTCTGGCTTTTATCCTGTTTCAGCTTTTTTCTTTTTAGTTCAGATAAGTTTATTTATATTTGATAATTTCAAAAGTAGGACCCAAGAAACCACAGAGAATTGTATACTTCTCTTTTTTTTTTTTTTTTTTTTGAGTTGGAGTCTCACTCTGTCACCGAGACTGAAGTGCAGTGGCACGTTTCTGGCCACCGCAGCCTCGACCTGCTGGGCTCTGGCGATCCTTCCGTCCACCCCAGCCTTTCAAGTAGTCAGAACTATAGGCGCGCACTACCACGCCTGGCTAATTTTTGGTTTATTGTAGAGACAAGATCTCGCCAAGCTGCGCGGGTGGGTCTTGAACCCGTGGGCTCAGGCTATCCCCTCGCCTCGGCCTCTCAAAGTGCTGGGATTACAGGGTGAGGCACCGAGCCCAGCTGAGAATTGCATACTTTTTTATTGAAGGACATTTGGGGGGTAATTAATAACTTAGAAGTAATTTTTAGTTTATTGTTTTTTTTTTTAATTTTTATTTTAAAGATGTAGGGTGCAATTTAGAATTAGGTATTGTACAGGTAATGTTTGGGCCTCACTTTGGTCCCCACTTCACCTGGTTTGAGATCAGGTACCATTATTGATGAAGTGTGCCCCCCCATGCTATTTTTATTACGGTGCTCTCACCTGTTATGGTGCAGAATGAAAAGTTCTTAGACTTCCTGTTTGTGTTACTATTTGATTTACTACTTTATAGGCTTCAGTTTTTTAAATAATTAGATCATAATAAAGTAAGCTTAACCTAAAATAGCTGAAGATAATTTAGTTTCTGATTTAAAACTGTGAGTTCTTCCTTTAGAGTCACACTTGAGGTGGAGTCTGACTCCGCCCTGTATTAGCCTGACAGTGATGAGTCACCCATCTTTGTATTAACCCATCTGTTAAATGGAAAGAATACCTGTGTAATAGGGTTGTCTGTGGCAGTGAGCCACCTTGTTTAGGGCACTCAGTGTTCACCCCTTCCCCTTGGCTCCCCTGGGTTTATGATGTTGAAGCCCATTTCTCAGAGTGCAGAGCAGGTTCTGTTTCTGGCTGCTTGGATGATTAACGCTACATCTTTTTTGGGTTTTTTTTTGTGTCTGAGTCTCATTCAGGCTTGCAGCCTGAGGCTAACAGGCTGGAGTGCATGGCACACTCATGGCCACTGCAGCCTCCACCTGCTGGGCTCAGGCGATCCTCTTGCCTTAGGCTTCCAAGTAACTAAAACTACAGGCATGTACCACCATGCTTTGCTAAGTTTTTGATTTATTGTAGAGATGAAGTCTCGCCAGATTGCCCAGGCTGATCTTGAACCCTGGACTTAGGCAGTACTCTTGCCTCCACCTCCCAAAGTGCTGGGATTACAGGCGTGAGCTTCCGCGCCCGGCATAACATTACATCTTTTTAAAAATATATACAAACTTTTTTTTTTTTTTTTTTGAGT